CTCTCTCTCTCTCTCTCTCTCTCTCTCTCTCTCTCTCTCTCTCTCTCTCTCTCTCTCTCTCTCTCTCTCTCCTTGGTCGAATCATGAATGTCTCATGCACACACATTCCATCGATAGGATGAGCAAAAGCGGAATGAATCTTCTGCTGAAACGGGGAAATATACACTGCCACTTTTTGCTTTGCTCGTTCTATCGATCCAAGTAGCGTGCGGCGAGCCGTGGGGCTCGAGACTTAGCTGTTGGGCCGTGTTGGCCGAGGTTGGAGACTTATAGGCTCTCTCTCTCTCTCTCTCTCTCTCTCTCTCTTTCTCTCTCTCTCTCTCTCTCTCTCTCTCTCTCTCTCTCGGTGCCCTAGCCAAATTGGCCAAGGTTGCGCGCAATGAGTATGTGGACAAGATGATGGCCATCTCCAGGTGTGCTGCTGCACTCGGGAGATAATAGCCGGAGAAAGAAAAGACAAAATTTTGTTGCTAGACGACTAGTTAGGATCCGGGGCACTCTCCCCGATAATGTTTTGGCTTAGTATGAGCACGGATTCGCAACGGAGGTCGGAATTCAAAAGGGAAAGCAAGCCTAGCTAGTGGGCAATAGATTCGGTCCTTGTTTTTTCGAGTACCCGGTGGTAGGCCGGGGAGCCCAGTCTTCTAAGGTTTTAAGTTTTTCCCCTCATTCTGAATTGAACCAGTTTTCAGGTTAGGTGTGGTCATTTTGGGAAAAGGGATTGGACGGTAGTACCCTGAACCGTCGTTTCGTAGGAGTTCGTAGTGTCGGACTTTCAGTTGACTATGTTTAGATCTTGATGACTTTTCAAAAATGAACGACTATGCCCACAGGGTTTCATTGACGAACAACATGAGCTGCGACTCCGGAAGGGTATAGCTCGCAACTATTTGAACACGAAGGCACGGGAAAAGCCTTCTTTTCGAGCACGCGAATTCTCTGAGTTCACCCTCCTGATGAGACTCCATTTGGTGGGCGGAGCGAAACTGGTTGAGGGACGCCACTGTGCTTGGCTATGGTGGTTATGTTTGACGAGCTTTTGCAGAGTGCATTCTGAGTTTGTTGGATATCTTTGTCGCTTTGTAACTCTGTGTGTCATTCAGTTGCAGGGACTGTTTTGCGGCAGTCTGCCAACTCTCTGGCGCGTAGTAACCGGTAGTGGGAGATGCTAATCGGTGGCTGCGTGGACATGGTCAGTGTTCTTCTGTGAGGTTTGCAGTTCGGCGGCAGCATTCTACGAGCTCGCTTGCACAACGGCAGCGGACGACGAGCTGGCCTGCACGATCTCGCAAAGCAGATTTCCTGGCGAAGTTCTCTGTGAGCTCTCGCTGCATTAGCCTAGGCGTTTTGGCGTTCTAGCTTTCGAAGTCGGTCGCTGACGGGCATTTTGAGATGACTCTGGAGATAGCGTCTGACGCAGATTAAGAAATGTCGTTAACTTAGTTTACTACAGCAGTTCGGCTAAAGGGTAGTTCCTGCACTCCAACGGGGTAGTTTACTATGGTGTTAGATGGGATATTACGTTTTCCGGCTAATGGGTAGGAAGAGCACTTCGATCACAGTACTACGTCTGCTGGTAAGCGGCGTAGGCTTGATCCTGATTGGTTTGTGTCTCTTGGTAATCAGAGCTGCGTCTTGATACAGTAATGCCGATTAGACGTAGACTCGGCGGAGAGCATATTCCTTTCGTGATCCGGGTAAGGCTAACTCGGGCTTTGAACCGATTTGTGGAAAATACGATCAGACCTCTGTTTTATTTGACCGGGATGATCGGTGATGAGTTGATTAGAGACCGATTTTATGATTCGCTACTTCGCATCTTGGTGCGTGTAGAGAGAGCGATCTTTACACTCAGGACTCGGAGACGTGTACAACTCATGGAGGTCGCAGACATCTGGAGGAACTAGCATGTCTGCAGGTACGTGTTGTTTCGGAACTCTGAATCCTGAGGCGAACACAACTTGGAAGGACACATGTACTTGGGTTCTCTGGGAATCTGGTAGTTGCGCTTTAGTTGCGCGTTAAGCGAAGGGCGTAAGCTTATCGATTTCGCGGAGCCTATCCGGCGGGAGCCTACTCAGGGCTAAGCGAAATGTTTTTGACTAATGGCCCGGGAGGTAACAATCTGGGGGCATATGGAAACGGTAACATCGGCTACAACGGGACTAATTATGGAGAAGGAAGGGTCGGGGCGCACGCAAATGGAGGTGCGATGGGCGGTGGAGAGGGCTATAGTGCCGGTGGAAATGGTGGAGGTGGGCTTGGCGGTGGTGGTGTGTGCTTTAATTGTGGAAAGCCAGGGCATTTTGCGCGGGATTGTTGGGCATGGCTCGGAAAACCGTACCAACACAACCAAGGGGATCCGGAATTGGAAGAAATCAAGGAATATCATCGACAAGCGATGAGAGAACGCATCGAGCAAAAGGAAAAGAAGAGGATCGAGGAGGAGAAAAAAGCGAAGGAGGAGGAGGAGAATCGCAGAAATCAAGATTTCGCACGGAAGATGGAGGAATTCAAACTACAGCTGCGAGTCGACTTGAATGAAGAATGGCGTAAGAAGAATCTAGAAGCGGAGAGAGCCACGTTGGAAGCTAAGAAGAAGACGGTGACGCGGAGACTGAATCAAGGTTCGCGCTCCAAGAAGAGCAACGGTAAGGGGAGAAGGGTGAAAAGGAGGCACTGCGTACTTCCAAGTGACTCGAAGTGAGGACTCATTATCAGACACGGCATCAAGTTCGGATGATTTGAGTTCCTTTTCAAGTGAGCCCGGCGATGAAAAGGCTCATGGGAAAACGACCAAGGAGAAGGGAAAACGGAACAGTAAAGGGAAGTCGAAGAAGGGGAAGGGAAATGTGAATTCACCCCCCCGCAAAGTTACGCCGAGGAAGTATGAAACGGGAGAGTGTTCCAAGAAGGAGCGAGGTGTAGGGAAAGGAAGCGGCCCGCGGGGAAACGTGACTAACAAGGCAGAGGGATCTGAGGATGAAAGGGAACCTAAGACGCCGTTGAGAGGCGGGTACAAGGGATTGTCTGCAGGATGCTCTCATAAGGGTTTGATCGAGTATTGCATTCATGCACATAAGATCTACTCAGCTAAGAAGGCTCATGCGTTGAGGAGGATCTGCGAGTGAAGAGGGATGAAATATACCACGAAGCCGGAGGTGGTGGAGCAACTTGCGAGGCAACAGGTAGAACTGGCCTACGATGGTTTCGAAGAAGGCACTGGCAAGCGGAAGGAGGCGATGATGGAAGAACGAGTGGCTTCACCTATGGCAGACGTCAACAGGAACAAGGCGGTGCATATCTCCCCGGTAACAAGAAGATCCAGGGTGATCCTGAAATCGGCATCGGTGCAACCAGAGGAGAACTTGAGCTGACGTGGTAGGCCGCCTTTGACATCCGACTTGTGGGAATCTCTCAACTCCTGGATCTCCCACAGATCGGAACTCCGAAGGACTAACGTTTCAGGGGAGGTGACTAGGAAGGTAGAGAGCGTGATTGCAACGACAACTTTACTCTTGGCTAGTCGGGGGCAGATACCATGGCTGGAAAAGTACATCGATAGGGCGGGGGATCTATCCGGGATGTTAGGCCTGGACACACCAGGAGTATACGCGATTGTAAGCCCATGGGCAAAAAAAACTTACGTGGGGTGTACTGTTCGACCGATCATACAGAGGTGGAGGGAGCATTGCCGGAATGCTTCAAACAATGCTTCGGGACTGGCTCCACACCTGTATCGTTGGCTACGTGCATATGGCGTAGAGAAGTACGTGATTATTCCTTTGAGGCACACGGGGAAGGAGGATGACTATGCTTTTGAGAAATTTCTGATCTTAGACTTCTACCCAAGTCTGAACACACGTGACTTGGGGCTGAAGAAGGAAGGTAGGAAGATGTTTAGAAAGTGGAGGCGAGAGAGGAAGGGGAGAACGTGCACGATGAAATCAAAGGAAACGGTGACGTTTCATGATGGTGATCGGTGCTTTACGTCACTAGTAGGTTGGCTGAGTACTCGTGGCGACGACCGAACAACAAGAACCATCGTGGTGAGTAAGGGAACGAGATGGGTGGATGGATGGCGCAAGATTAAACGATTATTTGGCAGCTCAGTGGTGAAGGTGGGCGACAGCGTGTCTATATTGAAGTTGGTTAAGCCGCAGCTACAGCAGGGGACGCAGTTGGAAATTATGCGGATAATTAAGGTGAAGACGACTACCGAGAAGAATAAAGCTCTTCTTGCAGGACTTCTTCGGAGGCCCAGACCTGCTTCGCAACTTTGTAATTTTGCGACGATCAAACTGATAGGCCTGTATCTTGCAACGGGCCTTTTCACCGAAAAGAAGACCAAGCAGCATCTGCGCCTTAAGATCGACAGAGCATTGCACAGGAAGACGGGCATAAGCATAAGAAGGCGCATCAACATCAAGGTACCCTATGAGTCTATTATTAAGAAGAGTGCCATCAGAAAAGTGGCGGAGGGCGTGGTGGGTGAGAGATTGTCGGATACCGTTATAGCTAACTTCGTAAAGACCTGTATTCGGGTGGGTTGGACACGGAACAAATTAGTGGGTGAGCTCCTCTGGAATCAGAAGAGGTATGCAACTGATGCTGAGGCAAGTTGCTGCTGCGATGGGTTTTCGCTGCCAAAGATTGTGGGACATGTGCAGACGCGGTTCACTGAACTGTCGAATGAACTCGTACCTAGATTTGTGCGGAATGCCAAAAATATCACGAAGCCGGGACGTGGGGTACATAGTGAAGCAGTGCTGCAGGCAATCCTGGACGCCACTAAGCATCAAAAGGGACGGGTGAGCCGGCCGGAACTGCTACCGGGAACCTTTCGATGTGAAAAGCACAGGTCACTGGCTTGGACGGATGAAGCAAAAAGAGATTGGGGGAAGAGGTTTGCTGGGCAGGTATTGACACAGGTCGACAGGAATAGCGGGGACACAACGGTTTTCTGCCCGGTCCTGTACAGACATGGTTTCGGGAAACTGTTCACGTGGAATACGAACTACATCACTGTCGGGAGGGCGAAAGAGGAGGCGGAGCTGATGAAGAAGTACAGGGAGGATTTTCGGGAATGCGGGCTGGAGAGCATCGGGGAGTGGAAGCCTAACGGCAGGCTAGGCACGGCCTACGTTATCCCGAAGCACAAGGATCTGGAAAGATGGAGGCCTATCGCCCCAGCCTCTTCCGATCCGGCGGCTCTGGCAAAGAAAAGGGTGGCTAGAGCGCTGCATACGCTGCTATGTCGGTTACCGGTACACGAATCATTCTACCTGAACTCAATCTCGAAGCTGTCAGAGAGGCTAGGAGCAACAACAGTGAGGTTGAAGGCTAGCGGCTGCACCAAGGTGGAAGGACGCTGCTACAACATTAAGGAGATGTTCTTCCGTATTCCTCATTCGGAGGTGGTCCACTCGGTGGAAAGCTTGCTGAAGAGATACATCGACAAGGGATGGAGGTATGTGAAGGTGTCATTTCATGGGAAAGCGTGTGTGATCAGTGAAACGAAGAAGAGGCTGGACGGATATGTGAGCATTAGCCTTCCAGCGCTACTCAAGGCTGTACACTACGATTTGCAGCATTCATCTATCAGGTGTGGCGGCAAATTGATGCAGAAAGTATTTGGAATCCCAATGGGGAAGTCCACTAGTCCCATCCTTACCTCCATCACGTGCGCGATGTCAGAGAGAAAGTTGCTTGGTTCACTGGGGTCGGACAGGAAGCTGGTCGGAGGTTGGAGGATCATGGACGACATCTTCGTGATTGTGGGCAGCTCAGATACATCCGGACGCTGCCCTGAAGATATTTTTAGAGCTTTTGAGGAGTGTTACGACACTAAATTGGAGATCGTTCGCAAGGACGACTGCGGAGTTACCTGGTCGTTCGTGGGCGGGACATTTTTCATCGGGAACAAGCCGCTGCAGCAGCATTTTGTCCCTAACGGTAAGAACACAGATGCACTGTACGAGAAGGGCAAGATGGTTTTTCAGACCATGCAGGACTATAGCTCGTACTCGGACAAAGCAGTGAAGAAAACAGTGTGGGCTGCGACTCTCAGGAGATTGTGGGATCATACCATGTGTAAGAAGCTGGTGCTGGGCGCAATTGCCCTTGCTGTATGTGAAGCAGACCTCCGGGGATACGCTCCGGAGGTCTCTCTCGGTGCCCTGGCCAAATTGGCCAAGACTGCGCGCAATGAGTATGTGGACAAGATGCTGGCCATCTTCAGGTGTGCTGCTGCACTCGGGAGATAATAGCCGGAGAAAGAAAAGACAAAATTTTGTTGCTAGACGACTAGCTAGGATCCGGGGCACTCTCCCCGGTAATGTTTTGGCTTAGTATGAGCACGGATTCGCAGCGGAGGTCGGAATTCAAAAGGGAAAGCAAGCCCAGCTAGTGGGCAATAGATTCGGTCCTTGTTTTTTCGAGTACCCGGTGGTAGGCCGGGGAACCCTGTCTTCTAAGGTTTTAAGTTTTTCCCCTCATTCTGAATTGAACCAGTTTTCAGGTTAGGTGTGGTCATTTTGGGAAAAGGGATTGGACGATAGTACCTTGAACCATCGTTTCGTAGGAGTTCGTAGTGCCGGACTTTCAGTTGACTATGTTTAGATCTTGATGACTTTTCAAAAATGAACGACTATGCCCTCGGGTTTTCTTGACGAACAGCATGAGCTGCGACTCCGGAAGGGTATAGCTCGCAACTATTTGAACACGAAGGCACGACAAAAGCCTTCTTTTCGAGCACGCGAACTCTCTAAGTTCACCCTCCTGATAAGACTCCGTTTGGTGGGCGGAGCGAAACTGGTTGAGGGACGCCACTGTGCTTGGCTATGGTGGTTATGTTTGACGAGCTTTTGCAGAGTGCATTATGAGTTTGTTGGATATCTTTGTCGCTTTGTAACTCTGTGTGCTTGTCATTCAGCTGCAGGGACTGTTTTGCCGCAGTCTGCCAACTCTCTCTCTCTCTCTCTCTCACACACACACACACACACACACACATGTTTTTGCTCATTCTATCGATGGAAGTAGCCGTGTGTACCTTCGTTAGCCCGTTGCACCTCTCTCTCTCTCTCTCTCTCTCTCTCTCTCTCTCTCTCTCTCTCTCTCTCCTGTCTCTTATACACATCTAGATGTGTATAAGAGACAGGCCCTGGCTCCTCCCGCTGCACCTTTCCCACAGTGCTCCCGTTTCACACCGACCCGACCGTCCCGCGTGGCTTGGCCTGCGCACCCCGCCCGCGTCTGCCTGCTGCAGTTGCTAGGTCGTGCGTACCTCCGTCGGCCCGTTCCCACCGGGCGACTAAAAAAAAAAAGATTTCGGCCCCCGCGTCGCCTGTCAGCTCGTTCCCACCGGCCGACTAAAAAAAAAAAGAAGTGTTGTACCTTTCCCGGCTTCCCGACCTTGCACAGCGGATTCGGGTCCGCCAAAAACCGACTCGCGTGTCGCCCCTATTCGTTGTGGCCACTTCCCAGCACCGGCGCGCCGTTTGTTCCCCCTTGCCCACTGCCCGACACGGGTCCCGCGCGGCGGCGGCCGGTTTCTGTTGGGCCCTACGCGCGGACCGCTATTTCCTTTAGTAGTATAAAGATAGAGAAGAGGCCGACCGTGGTACTGCTGAAGTATAGAATGAGGCCCATGTAAGGTATTTTGAAAAAGAAGGACCCCACTCGTTCAGGAATCTGCCGCAAAAATAGCGCCAAATTCTTGAACCGGTAAAAACAAGCCCAGGGTGACGTGGCCACGGCGCGAAGGCGCCTTTCACCCAGGCTGAAAGAGTTTGAGCAGGTAGTACAAAACAGCCGAGTTTTGGGCGGCCAAAACCGAAAAGGTTTTGGAGTGGGCTCTTTCTACCAATTAGAATCTCGTTGGACACTCCTAAAGGATTCCTAAATTCTTTAGGACGAGTCCTAAAAGAATTTTAGGATTTGCTGCGGCATCGTTGCACGCAATCCTAAAAAAAATCTTTTAGGAACCGTCCTAACGGGTATCCCGCGGCCAATTCTCATATACGTATACAGAGCCGTGTTGTCGATGTCCGCCCATTGCAGCCCGGTGTCCGTGGTACAGACGGCGGTGGGCCCTGGCCGGTTAAGGATGGGGAGGTGAGAAGCGCGCGGAGGAAGACATTCGAAAATTTGAACTTGAATTTTCGCTGGCGCAGGGAGGCGGGCTGGAGGACAGGTAGCCGACGCGTACGACGTACAAATGAGGGCGGTGGTGATGTCCTTGCCGTGGAGAGCCATCTTTCGCGTCTGCGCGAGTCGTCACTAGTGTGCAAAGTGTCGTGTGGCAGGGAAGAGCACCAGGCTCATCTTCGGCGGCGCTGGCAGGCGTTACTCGTGAGAGGCGAACGGGCAACGGAGATGGACGTTCGCGACGACGGACATGGGTTGTGTGAAGAAGAGAGGGAGGCGGTGGCGATGGCGGTGACTGCCGTAGTCCTCAACACGGTGAGCGACATGTCGTCCACAGACCGCGATATGCGTTTGCAGCTGCGGAAACGTAGAGGACTGTTGCAACGGGTCGTCGAAGCGCCAGATTGCGTGGTGACATGTGAAACCGCGCGCTGATTGAGCGCACGGTCGTCGGTCGGCGCTTGATTTTTTAAGCGCTGCTCAAAAGCGCGCTCGAGCGAGTTCGTAGGTGGGGTCTCAGTTGGTGGGTGGAAGGTCGGGTGTCGGTTTTCAGGGTCCCAGGGGGGGAAGGGGGGGGGGGGG